GAGGAGTGAAGAAATAAGCGAAAAGTTTGGGCAATCATAACATACCCTAGAGTCCGCTGATGAAGCTTGAACGCATACTGAATGAAGCCCTGCCTGGAATTCTGGGATGTACAGAAGATACCCCGGTAGTATGTATGCTAGGTATACTTGTACTGCCTACTTTTGCGGATGGGCTCAAAGTTCTGTTAGCAGCAGACAAGATGCACCTCATGCATGAAGCCCTAAATAGAGCCAAGGTCTCAGACTAAAAAAAAAAGACATTTTTGGTGCCGTAAGCTGAAGACATAATTAGACATGTGTGCAGGCTTGATACATTTGGGCGAGGGGAGGAGTTGGTCAAAGTGTCCGAGCAAGAGTCAGATTTGTAAAGGGTTCTAATCTCTCTAGGTCGTTGAGCGCAGGGGCTGGCCAGCCGGGGCTGCAGAATCAGAATTTCTAAAAGTGATTCATGACAATTCCCGCCTAGGTGATGTGATCTATACAGATGGCTCTGTGTTGAGGGGCAGGCGAAGTGCATGGGGTTCATAGCAAAAGCGAATGGTGCAGCAAAGCCTGGCATATCACAACGTCTAGTTTGAGAATAGAGGTAGAGGCAGTCACTGCTGCCTTCCGCTAGCTTGAACGTCAGCTGCGCACACACGTCGTATCTGTGACGCTTTTATCTTGCTGCTGACGATAGGCACGAAGCGCTTATTGGAATGTCTCGAGTGCTGTAGTAGAAGTAGATTTTTTTTTACCTCACTAGGACATCACACAAGCGATTAACACCAGATGACACAAAGTGCCACCATGTGGATGAGGATCACCCGTGGAGGGGTCCCAGAAACCGCGTTCGGCCATTAGACCATATTTATGGCCAGGCTATATTGTGGCCCTGGCAAGAGCCAGTGTAGGGCTTCAAATAACGAAAAATTGCATCTCACAAGGGCTATAGATATTCACCGTCATTTTTAGGATGACATTATTTGTTATTTGAAGCCCCACCCTGGCTCTTGACGGAGGCCGCAATATAGCCATGCCATAAATATGGCCTAATGGCTGAACGCGGTTTCTGGGACCTCTCCACAGTGATCCTCATCCACATGGTGGCACATTGTGTCATCGGGTGTTTATCGCTTGTGTGATGTCCTGGTGGGGTAGAAAGTCAGTCAGTCATCTCACAAGGAGATGGCTGGATTACCTCTCGAGTGTTTTGATGTCGATTCTCAATTCAACATTCAACCGCATAACATAGTAATGAAAAAATATTAAAGTAATTTTCGCACTTTTAAGTTAAAAAAAATAACTATAGTGTTCTAAAGGGTAAAGAATATATGTCAATATTTTATATAGATATTAAAAAAAAAAATACTTGAAAATAATCAAATATTGCAAATTTGTTGACATGCGAGTTCGAAACTAACCAGCAATAGTCCCACCAAGGTCCATAACTCCGTAACAAAGGCAGACGTAAGAGAGGCCAGCTAGAAGCTGGGGAGGTGGAGGTTTGTTGTGAGTGTGTCCTGTTCTCTCCTTCTGCTGTTTATCTTTGATAAAAGTCCCGTCTGTCAGTTACTTGAGAATGCTTTCTGTAAGATCATACATTGAACTTTGAGTAAGATGTTAGGTTAGACTTGTACAGGTTTCTTTTTTTTTTTTGGCAGCGAGATGGTTTTCTGGTCGACTGGTTCCAGTCTAAGTGTAACCAAGGAATATCGCAGCATTCAGTTACCCCAGTCTGCTGGTTCCAGTCTGTAACCATGGAACCACATCATTCACTTACACTAGTCCACTGGTTCCAGTCTGTAACCATGGAACCACATCATTCACTTACACTAGTTCACTGGTTCCAGTCTGTAACCATGGAACCACATCATTCACTTACACTAGTCCACTGGTTCCAGTCTGTAACCATGGAACCACATCATTCACTTACACTAGTTCACTGGTTCCAGTCTGTAACCATGGAACCACATTATTCACTTACACTTGTCCACTGTTTCCAGTCTGTAACCAAGGAAGCAAATCATTCAAACACCCAGTTCTATTGGTTCCAGTCTAATTGTAACCAATGAACCACATCATTCACTGAACACAGTCTGATGGTTCCAGTCTCTAACTAAGGAACCACATCATTCACCTACACTAGTCCACTTGTTCCAGTCTGTAACTAAGGAACCACAGCATTCAATTACTCCAATATGAGCTATGAGTTATGAGTTGGATTATCTTCACAGCACTCCAGACACATCCATAGGTGCTCAAATTCTCCTCTCAACATATTCATCAGCGTCACGTGGTTAACAGTACCAATCCTATGCTGGTTGACAAGACTTTGTGTGCGTCTAATGTGTTTCTCTTGCTTGGCTGTGCCGATCTTTACTCCCAGATCTCGTATTTTCAGCAGTGATGTGGACACATTGCCAGGACACTCATTGCTGATAGGCCATTGCACGCTTTTGTTTCAATATATATAATGCTGATGCTGCTACTACTACTACTACTACTACTACTACTACTACTACTACTACTACTACTACTACTACTACTACTACTACTACTACTACTACTACTGCACCTACTACTAATAAGCCTACTACCACTATTACTGCTGCTACTACTACTACTGCACCTACTACTAATAAGCCTACTACCACTATTACTGCTACTACTACTACTACTGCACCTACTACTAATAAGCCTACTACCACTATTACTGCTACTACTACTACTACTACTACTGCACCTACTACTAATAAGCCTACTACCACTATTACTGCTACTACTACTACTACTACTACTACTACTACTACTGCACATACTACTAATAAGTAGGCACTACAGTTTCGGAAATTTGCGATCTTTTCGACAATTTCCGTTACCATAGAAACCGTTTAAAACTTGTTTCGGGAATGTCGGCTGGGGTTTCGGGATGGGTCCTAATCTCTCATGAAATTTTGCGATTGGTGTGGTTTTCACCCACTCTAAATAGCTGAAAACGGCGGGAAGGAACTCGATTAACAGCGCATGTCTACGAAAGCCGGATGTTCTCTGTTTTTCTGTTAGTCATCAGTTTGATTGAAAATAGCGTTAAATTCGAGGTTGGCTTTAGGCTTTAACTGTTACTGTACCTGGTAATGCTAGTTATAATTGAATTCTCCGTCCAATTTTACATTTGTGTATAAAAACTTTTTTCTGGTACGTGGCTAGGTAGATGTACAGTGACATTTTTTAGGCAATCGCATGCGGCTCAGAAACTACTTCTCTGGAAAAAACTTTTGTGGACAAGAAGCGGCTGTTTTCTTACATTCATCTCCACAAAAACCTACAATCTCAGCTCAGAAAGACATACAAGCCTAAATGAGGTACCGTTGGAAAGAGATTGTTTACAGCTATCTAACTGTGCTGGTTTTATTGGTGTAGAGGGCATTTTAAAAATTTCACTGAAGTAGCTATAATAAGCCTACTACCACTATTACTGCTACTACTACTACTACTACTACTACTGCACCTACTATTAATAAGCCTACTACCACTATTACTGCTTCTACTACTACTACTACTACTACTACTACTACTACTACTGCACCTAGCCTACTACCACTGAATACTACTACTGTACTACTAATAAGCCTATACCACTATTACTGTTATAACTACTACACTAATACATATACTGCATCAGCATCCCGTAACACTACGTGTCTGCTGCTTCTATTGGGCTGTCACTACTACACCACCCTTACTAATGCTGTGCTATTGACTACTACTACACTGACTGATCAGCTTTTACTACCACACCACCACTACTACCACCTTACCACCACTACTACTACTACTACCAACTCTGGCGGTCAGGGAGGAGGGAGTTACAATGGATTGTACTTCATGCAGAATTATCAATGCACAGAGGCCTCTGTCAGCTTTTTCCAGGCGGTCAGCTGCAATGGACTTCAGGTTCAGTAACCAGGTCTTTCTTGGTCTGCATCTTCTTCTCTTTGCCTTTACTGAGCCTTGCAGTATTGTTTTTGAGAAGCAGTTAGATCTTATTACATGTCCATAACATTGCATTTGTCACCTTTTCACTGTAGTTAAAAGAAGTTCATAGTTGCCAGTGTGCTGTATAATTTTATGACGAACCTCTTTGTTTGTAATGTGGTCTCTGAATAATATGCCAATAATTTTTCTGAAACATCGCATTACTAATACGTGTATCTTTCTTTCAAGCTCAGCTGTTAAGGTTCACGTTTCACAGAGTTGGAATACTTCTGCCTGAGTGGCAAGGAATAACCAACTGCACACAAATAAGCCAGTAAAACAGATGTACACACAAAAGCCCTGCAAATGGATGAACAACCAGGACCTTCTGCTAGAGCTTACAGCTGGTGAACAAAGAGAAAGAAAAAGACTATCTACTGGCCTTTCCCAAACCATGCTACAACGCTCTGTAGAAGGGAAGAGGAAACAGAGTAGGCCAAGAAAAACGTGAATCCAAAAGCAGGCATACAGGATGGGTCTCGAATATTTAAATATCCCGTCCCTGTGTGCATTCCAGGGCCCATTGTGAGGAAAATAAGAATAGACCCACTGCTTTCCCAATAAGCATGTTGTAAGAGTCGACTAATTGGGGGCTTCCTTCAGAATCTGAGTGCATCTGCCTGAGAGGCAGAGCAACAGTCTACTCACAAGTAAGCCAGATCTGTAAAACGGATTTGAACGCAACACTCAGATTCTGAAGCTAGACTAAAGTTCAGAGGTGAGTGAACAACCAGAACCTTCTGGTGGGATTTACAGCCGATAAAAACTAAGAAAAACATCACACAGACAGTTAGACAGACATACGCATTGCTTGAAACAAACAAATAAATGTTACTTTTCTGTTATCTTTACTAGAATTTTCTACAGTTGAAACAATGACATCCAAGAAAAAGAGAAGATTTCAAACACCAATGTTTTAATGGATATTCAAGTAGTTTCATGTCTCTACTGTTGTCCGGCACCACCACAGCTGCCATAAGATAATGGGAATGGGTGTGCCTCTACTGAATGGATATAAACGCAGCTTTCTGCTGAAGCGGATCCCCCAGACTGTGTTGGGAGGCCTGAAGTTGAGGCTGGGCTACAGTGCACCAGCTTATGTCTATGTCAACCAGGTAGATCTTCGCAGTCTTTAGTCTCTGTAATTGTTAGGGTGTCTCACCCATATTTGGTAACAGGAGCTTTCATAGCACTAGGAAATTTGTGAAGATCAGAAGAAATTAAAACTATTACTAAACTCAGATTGTTAATAATAATGTCAAATTGTTACTGTTGTATGGAGCGGAAACATAGAGAACAACTAAGGCAGTTACTAATAAACTACAAACATTAATTAACTTGTGCATGCGGAGAAAGAGGGAATTAATTTGTATGATTTAATCGCTAGTGTAGAACTTTGGGAGAGAACTAAATAAGTTCCAGTGGACCAAGAGGTGAAAAAAAGACGGTGGCGTCGGATAGGACACACGTTGAGAAAACCTGAGAATAACATCACTAAAATATCCTTACACTGGAACCGACAGGGGCACGGAAATAGAGGAAGGCCAAAAAACACATGGAAAGGGGAGCTAGAGAATGAAGTTAAAAGATGGAAAGCTGCATGCAAAAGCATAGGATAAAGTGACTTGGCATGAGTTTGCTTGAAAGCCTGCGCTTCACTCTGGGATAAAAAGTAGAAGAAAAAGAAACCTATTCACGTACAGGCAAATGGCAAAATTCTTAAGCAAGTTAATAGATACAGATATTTAGGAACAATGATTAAATCTGATGCAAGATGCCTTGCAGAAATTAGAACAAGAATTGCCATCCCAAAAGTAGTGTTTAACAAGATGCAAAAGATTTTCACTAGTAAGGTGTCAAGGAGTGTTGGAGTGTTATTTAGAACCTTTGTTGTTATATGCATGTGAAACAGTGACAGTAAGCAGAGATGCTGAAAATTATTAAATTGTGACGAGTGTGTGGTTTCTGAGAAGAATGCAAGGAATATGATGAAAGGATAGAAAAAAGAAGCGAAGCATTCCTCGTCGAGTCAAATGAAGGTCATAAACTTATTAGAACAGTTAGATGTAGACAGTCAATCATTTTTGGATATGAGAGGTGGGGGGGGGGGGGGGTGTGTGTTGGTGAGTGGGGGAGGGGGTGTTGGTGAGTGGGGGAGAGGGTGTTGGTGAGTGGGGGAGGGGGTGTTGGTGAGTGGGGGAGGGGGTGTTGGTGAGTGGGGGAGAGGGTGTTGGTGAGTGGGGGAGGGGGTGTCTGTGTAAAAAAAAAAAAATCATTTTGTAAATACAAATGATGATGTTTTACTTTTCCAATACCACTAATGTTACCTAGCAACAGTGTTACCTAGCAACAGTGTTACCTAGCAACATTGTTACTAGGTCAAGTATGAGTACCCATATACATTTAAAAAAAGTGTGTATAGAGGTAAGTAACTTAGTTCTCTGCTGCATATGTGTTTATTGATTCTCCTTCTGTTTTGTATGAAAATTAAAACTGTTTTTATCCATAAATAGAATTGTTGTGATTTTTTTGTGTGAACTGTGTGAAGTTTTTAAAAAAAAAAATGATTTTTCCCTAAAATACGTGTCATATATATATATTTTCTCCAACACCTGAATAGAAGAGACCAAGTCTTCATTGTTTGCTTTTGCAGTGGCAGACTCAACAAACACTGAAATAAATTTGATGTGAGCCAAACAGCTCTTTGCCAGTATATTCATGCTGAACAAACTCCAAAATGTGTCCTGCAAGACTGTCCTCTCCTGGAGAACTGCGACACAGACTATGACCACACCCGATAGACCAGACAACTAAAAAACTTAAGAGAGCTGGAACTGGCATCCCGTTCTGTGGCCCAAAGTTGATTAAGCACGGGCAGAGATTGCCGAGGAAGATATTCTTTAAAGCTGTTTTATTTTTCTGGTAGTTCCCGGAAACGAAAGAGCTGATAAACTAGCTAAGGAAGGTGCAACTGAAGAACAACCCGACATACCAGTCTCTTATCAACAGAAGAAGAGAGTGATCAAATCAATCAGAATGCCACCAAAACTGGCACAAGACGATTAGATTACCATATTATGGACAGACCAAAGCAAGTCATTATCCTTCGCCTTAGAACATGACACAATCGACTTCGCTGCCACATGTACAACAAATTTAAGATTGGCCAATCAGCCATTTGTACCTGTGGACTGGCACCTGAAACAACAGATCACATCCTCCAAGACTGTGACAAAAACTTCTGGCCAAAAGAGACACTTGTGGAAGTCAAACTTTACAGGCCGCTTAGTGAATTACAAAAGACAGTGAAATTCATTCTAGAGACAGAATTGTAGATATAGATAATTTATTTCATGCGAACGAAAAAAGAATTTTACTGTCAGAAATATTAACTTATATTTAACTTTGATCTGTTGTAGGTGCTGCTGTGGCTGATTCCATTCCTCCTTGGGTGTATATTTACCCTGGTTCTGGAGCTGGTGTACACCGATGAGCAGATCTCCAGTGTGCTGGTGTTGTACAGTTGTCTGTACGGGGCGTGCATCATCATCTTCGTTGTCATCGTTCAGACCATCACCACCATCATGGAGATGAAAGAGAAGGAGAATCTGCATGCTGGCATTATCAGGAAAAAGAACTCTCTTGCGGAGGAAGATGAAATAGAGTTTGAGTCATGTTGTGGTGCGGAGACATTCGCTTTTGTCATTCCGGCGAAAAGGTTCAAGGTCAACATAGCACTTCATGCCTTAGTCTCTGGTAATTATTTGTATCCTAGTTATCATCCAGTATGAAATGAAAATTAATTTTAGGGGGGGGGGGGGTGCGGCAAGGAACTAGAATAGACCCACTCCCTCCACCCCCAACATAAATGACCTGAAAGTAACTAATTAAGAAATAACTAAAATCAGATGTTTTGGTCTGAAAGGTGCAGATATCACAACCTAGCTGTCAACCACAACACCATGTGCCAGCAGCCATTTTAAGGGTGAATTCAGAAGAACAGCCTACATTGACAGTGTGAAATAAGAAACATTCCTTATGTTGGGTTCCTGGGTCCTATTTGGGGGGGGGGGGGAGGAATACACCCACTGTCTCGTAACAAACATGAACGAATGAATGAACAAATTTTATTTTCAAAGGGTTAAGAATTGGGCACGCAGACCGGTCTAACAATCTGCCCCGCATATCATATCGCATAAGGGTGATTTGAGTACATCTGACTGGGTGATAAGGAACTAACAGTCTGCATACAAATAGCCCACATCTGTAAAGTGGATGTGCATACAAACTCAAGTTCAGGAACAAGACTAAAGTCCAAAAGTCATCGAACAACCAGAACTTTCTGCTGAAGTTAATAGCCGGTGAATATGAAGAAGAAGAAGACAAAACAAGAAACATCAGCCAGCTTTCATGACCCCTTACCGAATGACATTAGGTTGCTCTTTTTCATGTCGAGAAAGGCTTTGGCCGAAATGTCCAGTTTTTCATGTGTGTTTACATTGTTCCCCTCACCTGTCCACTTTGTTAAATAGTTCAGTGTATTCTTCTTCTGCCTTCTATCTCCCAAATGGAGCATAGACCCTGAACCAGCTCACGCCAAGTAGTTATTTTCTCCGCTCTGTTCTTCGTTATCGCCTGCCGCTCTCCTCATGTCCTCCCCATCTTTTTAGCTCCACTCTCCAGCTCCCTGCTTCATGTTGTTTTTTGGGGTCTTCCTTTTTGTGTCACTGTGCGTTTCAGTGCAAAGACATTCTAATTATATTGTTAGATTTTCTCATTGTATGTCCTATCCAGCACCAGCGTCTTTTCCTCACCTCTTGGTCCACTGGAACTCCCAAAGCTCTACATTAGTGATTCTATCATACCATTTAATTCCCTCTGTTCTGTGCAGACATCGGTTAATGAATGTTTTAAGTTTATTAGTGAGTGCCTTAGTTGTTCTACAAGTTTCCGCACCTTACAAAAGTACTGATTTGACATTATAATAAAAAATCTTAAGTTTTGTATGAGTTTTAATTTCTGTAGACCTCCACAAATTTCCTAGAGCTATGAGCGCTCCTCTTGCCTTTTGTGTGCAGTTACTCCTGTTTTCATTACTTTTCAGAAAATGACATTGAATGTTTATCTGTTTATTTCCAGGTGTAGTTTGTGGTCTTGGCTACTGGTACCTGCTACCTTACTCCCTCAACAACCTGTTTTCCTACAACTACGGAGCTACCGCAGTGGTCTTTATACTGGGATGGTTCACCATCTGTGTAGCACAGTACTCCCTGACCGCGGCCGCGCCCCCAGAGCCAGCTGTGTATCGAACTATGGACACATATGAGTTACAACCCCTGACCCGTCCACTGTACACGCTTGTATGTTACAGCATCCATATAGCCAGTTGGTAAGTAGAGTGTGAGGTCATATCATTAAACAAAAATATTTGGTGTGGATTCCAGAGCCCCATTGTGGGGAAACCAAGAATAGACCCACTGCCACCTCAGCAAGCATGTCATAAGAGTCAACTAATTATAGACTTCCTTTGAAGTTGGAGTGCATCTGCCCGAGCTGCAAGGAACAACCAGCTGCAAACAAGTAAGGCAGTAAAATGGATGTACATGCGTAACTCAGGCCATGGCACGAAGCCAGAGTCCAAGTGGACGAAGGACCAGTACATTATGCCAGAGATTACATTACAGCCGGTGAACAAAAAAGAAGATTTATTCAATTGGTATGTAGAGTGTGTGAGCTTATCTTATAAGAAAACAGATTTAGTAAATGTCCCTACAACAACAACCCAGACATTATTGATTCCACCTCCCTACATCTATAACACAGACAGTATTGATTCTATCTCCCTACATCTATAACACAGACATTATTGATTCTATCTCCCTACATCTATAACACAGACAGTATTGATTCCATCTCCCTACATCTATAACACAGACAGTATTGATTCCATCTCCTACAATTATAACACAGACAGTATTGATTCAATCTCCCTACATGTATAACACAGACATCATTGATTCTATCTCCTTACATCTATAACACAGACAGTATTGATTCCATCTCTCTACATCTATAACACAGACAGTGTTGATTCCACCTCCCTACATCTATAACACAGACAGTATTGATTCCACCTCCCTACATGTATAACACAGACAGTATTGCTTCCATCTCTCTACATCTATAACACAGACAGTATTGATTCCATCTCCCCACATGTATAACACAGACATTATTGATTCTATCTCCTTACATCTATAACACAGACAGTATTGATTCCACCTCCCTACATGTATAACACAGACAGTATTGATTCCACCTCCCTACATGTATAACACAGACAGTATTGATACCACCTCCCTAGATCTATAACACAGACAGTATTGATTTCACCTCCCTACATCTATAACACAGACAGTATTGTTACCACCTCCCTAGATCTATAACACAGACAGTATTGATTCCATCTCCCTACATCTATAACACAGACAGTATTGTTACCACCTCCCTAGATCTATAACACAGACAGTATTGATTCCACATCCCTAGATCTATAACACAGACAGTATTGATACCACCTCCCTACATCTATAACACAGACAGTATTGTTACCACCTCCCTACATCTATAACACAGACAGTATTGATTCCACATCCCTAGATCTATAACACAGACAGTATTGATACCACATCCCTAGATCTATAACACAGACAGTATTGATTCCATCTCCCTACATCTATAACACAGACAGTATTGATTCCATCTCCCTACATGTATAACACAGACAGTATTGATTCCATCTCCCTACATGTATAACACAGACATCTTTGATTCTATCTCCTTACATTTATATCACAGACAGTATTGATTCCATCTCCCTACATGTATAACACAGACAGTATTGATTCCACCTCCCTACATCTATAACACAGACAGTATTGATTCTATCTCCCTACATCTATAACACAGACATTATTGATTCTCTCTCCCTACATCTATAACACAGACAGTATTGATTCCATCTCCCTACATGTATAACACAGACAGTATTGATTCCACCTCCCTACATCTATAACACAGACAGTATTGATTCCACCTCCCTACATGTATAACACAGACAGTATTGATTCCATCTCCCTACATGTATAACACAGACAGTATTGATTCCATCTCCCTACATGTATAACACAGACATCATTGATTCCATCTCCTTACATTTATATCACAGACAGTATTGATTCCACCTCCCTACATGTATAACACAGATTGATTCCACCTCCCTAGATGTATAACACAGACAGTATTGATTCCATATCCCTACATGTATAACACAGACAGTATTGATACCACCTCCCTAGATCTATAACATAGACAGTATTGATTCCACCTCCCTACATGTATAACACAGACAGTATTGCTTCCATCTCTCTACATCTATAACACAGACAGTATTGATTCCACCTCCCTACATGTATAACACAGACAGTATTGATTCCACCTCCCTACATGTATAACACAGACAGTATTGATACCACCTCCCTAGATCTATAACACAGACAGTATTGATTCCACCTCCCTACATGTATAACACAGACAGTATTGTTACCACCTCCCTACTAACACAGACAGTATTGATTCCACATCCCTAGATCTATAACACAGACAGTATTGATTCCACCTCCCTACCATCTATAACACAGACAGTATTGATTCCACCTCCCCTAGATCTATAACACAGACAGTATTGATACCACCTCCCTAGTCTATAACACAGACAGTATTGATTCCATCTCCCTACATCTATAACACAGACAGTATTGATCCATATATAACACAGACAGTATTGATTCCATCTCCCTACATCTATAACACAGACAGTATTGATTCCATCTCCCTACATCTATAACACAGACAGTATTGATTCCATCTCCCTACATGTATAACACAGACAGTATTGATTCCATCTCCTACATCTATAACACAGACAGTATTGATTCTATCTCCCTACATCTATAACACAGACAGTATTGATTCTCTCCCTACATCTATAACACAGACAGTATTGATTCCATCTCCCTACATGTATAACACAGACAGTATTGATTCCACCTCCCTACATCTATAACACAGACAGTATTGATTCCATCTCCCTACATGTATAACACAGACAGTATTGATTCCATCTCCCTACATGTATAACACAGACAGTATTGATTCCACCTCCCTACATGTATAACACAGACAGTATTGATTCCATCTCCCTACATGTATAACACAGACAGTATTGATTCCACCTCCCTACATGTATAACACAGACATTTGATTCCATCTCCCTACATGTATATAACACAGACAGTATTGATTCCATCTCCCTACATGTATATAACACAGACAGTATTGATTCCACCTCCCTAGATACCACCTCCCTAGAAACACAGACAGTATTGATTCCACCTCCCTACATGTATAACACAGACAGTATTGATTCCATCTCCCTACATGTATAACACAGACAGTATTGATTCCATCTCCCTACATGTATAACACAGACAGTATTGATTCCACCTCCCTACATGTATAACACAGACAGTATTGATTCCATCTCCCTACATGTATAACACAGACAGTATTGATTCCATCTCCCTACATCTATAACACAGACAGTATTGATTCAATCTCCCTACATGTATAACACAAACAGTATTGTTTCCATCTCCCTACATGTATAACACAGACATCATTGATTCTATCTCCTTACATCCATAACACAGACAGTATTGATTCCATCTCCCTACATCCATAACACAGACAGTATTGATACCACCTCCCTACATCTGTAACACAGACAGTATTGATTCCATCTCCCTACATCCATAACACAGACAGTATTGATACCACCTACCTACATGTATAACACAGACAGTATTGATACCACCTCCTATCCTAACACAGACAGTATTGATTCCATCTCTCTATACACAGACAGTATTGATTCCATCTCCCTACATCTATAACACAGACAGTATTGATTCCATCTCCCTACATCTATAACACAGACAGTATTGATTCCATCTCCCTACATCTATAACACAGACAGTATTGATTCCATCTCCCTACATCTATAACACAGACAGTATTGATTCCATCTCCCTACATCTATAACACAGACAGTATTGATTCCATCTCCCTACATCTATAACACAGACAGTATTGATTCCATCTCCCTACATCTATAACACAGACAGTATTGATTCCATCTCCCTACATCTATAACACAGACAGTATTGATTCCATCTCCCTACATCTATAACACAGACAGTATTGATTCCATCTCCCTACATCTATAACACAGACAGTATTGATTCCATCTCCCTACATCTATAACACAGACAGTATTGATTCCATCTTCCTACATCTATAACACAGACAGTATTGATTCTATCTCCCTACATCTATAACACAGACAGTATTGATTCCATCTCCCTACATCTATAACATAGACAGTATTGATTCCATCTCCCTACATGTATACACAGACAGTATTGATATTGATTCACAGACAGTATTGATTCTATCTCCTTACATATATAACACAGACAGTATTGATTCCATCTCCCTACATCTATAACACAGACAGTATTGATTCCATCTCCCTACATCTATAACACAGACAGTATTGATTCCATCTCCCTACATGTATAACACAGACAGTATTGATTCCATCTCCCTACATCTATAACACAGACAGTATTGATACCACCTCCCTACATCTATAACATAGATATGACTCTTTCTCCCTGCAGGTACAGCACCGATTTCCACCTGCCAAACCAGGTACTGCACATTGTGTTTGTGTTGCTTCCCTTGCTGTGGTTCTTGGGTGTACTCCCGCCAGGTGAGGTCTTGATCCTGTGGATCCTGGAGCAGTGTCAGGTGTTTTTGTTTGGTGGTTCTCCGGCAGCATCCATCCCAAGGTAGGATCGATCCTCAAGTGGATCTCATTTATCATGCATCGCTTCACTTTTTTCTTGAACAGTACTTTTCCTTACTCAAGAAATTTCTTCTTCCTTGTTTTCGCTGGCTGTAAACTCTTGGGAGGGTGGGTAAGTTCTGGTTGTTTGCCCACTTCTGGACTCTGGTCTTGTTCCAGAAATTGAGTTTTGCATACACGACCATTGTAATGATGTGCCTTGTTTGTAAGCAGACCGTTGGTTCCTTCCCTCTCAGGCAGATGCACTCTGATTTTGATAGAAACAGCCTTGATTAGTCAAGTTTTATTATGTGCTTGTTAGGATGGCACTAGGTCTATCCCCCCCCCCCCCCCCCACTTTTCCCCCACCGCTTCCTAAATGGGGCCCTGAAACCCACGCTGGGACTTACTTGAATGATATGGGATGTGGGATTTGCCCTTTCCTGGGAGTCTTATATCATCTCACAGTGTGTACTTGCAGAAATACATTTCGTTAGAGCAAAATCTGGCTTTCTTTGTTGAACACTATTTGTGTTTATTTGTCCTTTTGGCTCCCGAGCCTGCTTACCCTAAAATGGATACCAGAAATATTTCAGGAAGTAAAGGTGGCCAGAACATTGTTGACCATGTTGTTGACTGTGCCCAGTGTGTGTGATATCTGAGAGTTGTGAGTTGGATTATATTTAGGGTACTCCGGACATGTCCATAGGTGCTCAGATTCCCTCTTCCCCATATACATCAGCTCCTGTGGTGAATAGTGCCAGTCCTGTGCTAGTAAATACAATTTCTTGTACCTGGTCATGCCTGGCTGTGCTGATATTCACTCCCAATTCTTGCATTTCTAGCAGTGAGGTGGACATGCTACACCCAGTACCCTCTGACCTGCTATCTTTCTAAGGGCATTAACAATATCAAAGTGATTCATAGACTGGCCAGAACTAAGGCGGAACCAGCCAGTCTGTCAGCTCTTTCATTGCCAACAACATATGCATGCCCTGGGACAGAGTTGAAGGTCACTCCCCCCACTGGGGAGTATGGCAATGACTTAGTCTACTGTTTGCACACAGAATCTGCCTTGTACTGTATGCACACAGAATCTGCCTTGTACTGTATGCACACAGAATCTGCCTTGTACTGTTTGCACACAGAATCTGCCTTGACCCGCCAGATCACGCTCATAGAATCACTCAGCACACACATGTGAGAATAGTCCTGTGATTCCAGCCACATGAAAGCTTGTGTCACCACCATCACCTCCATCATCAAGCTACAAGTAGTCGTGCATGCGATAGCAGCTGTTACAAACAAAAACCAGTCAAGCAACCAAAGTTGTACCTTCGCTGACACTGTTTTTGTCAACTCCACAGACTGCTGGTCAACGTGTTGATGTCAGCTGCCCTGTTCCTGGGCTGCTACTTCTTAAGCTCATGTTTTAGCTCCATGGTTCTTGCCGCAGGAGCTGGCTATCTATTGTCATGTGATCTCGGAGGTCTTGGCAGTCAGGTAGTGTTCATTCGTTGTTTCATTAGTCAGTCATCAGTTTTTCATTCATTCATTGTTTTGTTGGTTTCATAAGAGTAAATTATGAATCCCTGACACTCGGGAGGCTGCTGCATAAGACCGGACTATATGGCTGTCTGAAGAGGGACAGTGACTTATGAGGCATCTAGAAAAAAACAGACAGTTAAACAGTGATGACAGGCTAAAAAAATCCGCCTGACATAACTTTACCTACAGAAACTGTTCCCTGCCATCATTGTCCTAGATCCTTTCAGGCCCCTATTGGGCTCATAAGTCTTTTCTCACAGAACTCAACTATAGTTTCATGATGGATAAAAGAAACACTGGTCCTCATCCCTTGTGATATACGTAGGGGTTTCTGTGGCTTGTATCATTGAAGGTCGTAGGGTTGTTTCACGACGGCACCCTTCACTTCACGAGTGCAATTTTTACAGAGATCCATGGGGATCGTCCCCTGAGCTATGGAGGTCGTGCTCTGTCTGATGCTCCCGGCAGGCAGTTAGCTGTTTTGCAGAAAGAGACTGAGCCATACGGGATCAAACCCGGTGCAGTGAAGTCTGTCCTCTCACCTTTACATTTACCTTTTTCACCTTTAGACGAACAACAAAAGAAAACAAAAAACAGGTCAATATTATCATTCATTCATGTGTTGTCGGTTACATAAATCAAGTATCATTTATTCATTCACTGATTTGTTTGTTTCATAAGTAATCTTTCAGTTATCCGTTAGTTTTGGAAGTCAGCTATCTTTTTTTAAATCTTTTTAGATTTACAGTTGAACAGAATGAATTCATTCATGTTTTCTGGTTTCATGTCAGGTATCATTCATAATATATCAGGTTTCTGTCATTCTTTCATTCAGCCATGAGTTAATGGTTTTAAAAATAAAAAAGACATCAATGAAATTTACATATGTTTGTTTATAAAAACCTCTCAGATTTGGGAAGCCTGTCAAAGAAACAAAGAAAGTAAAATTACGACTACAAAAGCTAAACTGCCCGCCTTAGTGTCCACACGACATCCTCGAATCTCAGGTTTCCTGTGGTCTTGGTGCTGGTCAACTGTATACTACCATGGGGTGATGACCGCTGCGGCCGCCGTAGCCGCCACAGTTACCGCCTACCACATCCACAGCATCTCCTCACATGTTGTTGACTACCTGGGCTATGTCATCATTGGCTTCTGTGTTGTGGAGAAACTCCTGAGGGACTTCCAAGGCGTGTTTGTCTTCTTTGGGTTGGTGAGGAACCTTCTGTACCCACAAAGTACAGAAAATGTGGCCAGCTTCCGCCAGGGCAAGAGAAGGCTTCTGATTCTGGGGCTCCCTAGACGGGCCATTATCAATTGGGGTAAGTATTTTTATAATTCTCTTGTATGCTTCTTGTCTGCCTTTTTAACCTGATGAAGCATAGGCTTGCAGCGATCTTAGGCTAGTGTATAATCCAGTGACATCCCCGTGTGAGGAAAACAAGAATAGACCATCTGCCCCCTCAACAAGCATGTCGTAAGAGTCGTCTAATTTGGGGCTTCCTTCCCAGTGCATTGCCTGAGAGGCAAGGAACCAACAGTCTGCATAAAGCTATCTCAGATTTGTTTAAAAAAAAAAATGGTGCACTCAACACTCAGGTTCTGCAACTAGATGTCCAGAAGTGAATTAGTTAACAGGACTGTCTACCGGAGTTTACAGCCTGCGATTAAGAAGAAGAAGAATAAGTAATCCAGTGACAAATTGCTTAAAGTAAAATAGTTTTTGTGTGTGTGTCTAGCTCAAAAGTTATAGGTTCAGCTTCGTTTGAAAGACATTTTGAGGGCAATCCTTTCAGAGGGAATTGATATCCCATTGCTCCATTCTGATCTCTGAATAGTGCATTGGTTCCTCTGCAGTTTTTGTTTTTTTTTAGTCTTAAATTTATGTGAGTCGTGAATGTGAGTCGTGAATGTGAGTCGTGAATGTGAGTCGTGAATGTGAGTCGTGAATGTGAGTCGTGAATGTGAGTCGTGAATGTGAGTCGTGAATGTGAGTCGTGAATGTGAGTCGTGAATGTGAGTCGTGAATGTGAGTCGTGAATGTGAGTCGTGAATGTGAGTCGTGAATGTGAGTCGTGAATGTGAGTCGTGAATGTGAGTCGTGAATGTGAGTCGTGAATGTGAGTCGTGAATGTGAGTCGTGAATGTGAGTCGTGAATGTGAGTCGTGAATGTGAGTCGTGAATGTGAGTCGGGAATGTGAGTCGGGAATGTGAGTCGTGAATGTGAGTCGGGAATGTGAGTCGTGAATGTGAGTCGGGAATGTGAGTCGTGAATGTGAGTCGTGAATGTGAGTCGTGAATGTGAGACGGGAATGTGAGTCGGGAATGTGAGTCGGGAATGTGAGTCGGGAATGTGAGTCGGGAATGTGAGTCGTGAATGTTGAGTCGCGAAAGTGAGTCATGAATGTGAGTCGTGAATCAGGGCTTTTAAATGTTAAGACCACATGAAGATTCTTGAAGTATCATGGGCCGAGAAGAGGGACAATATTGGCATTCTGCAGGATCTAAACATTGAGAGGAACTGACTTTTAGACAGTATTGTTTCGTGGAATATTACAAGTTTGACTCTTCACCCTGAGAAGCTGTATATCTGGCAGTGACTCAATCGCATAAATGCAGCTTACTGTTAATTTCAATAATGGCCTGTCCCCACGAAGCCTAGTTAATGCCTAGGTTGTGTTTGCACCTCCATAGTATTTGTATTTAAGAGCTTAGGGTATGAATATATTTACTAAAAATAGTATCTTATATATTTACTAAAAATAGTATCTTATATATTTACTAAAAATAGTATCTTATATATTTACTAAAAATAGTATCTTAAAAAAGACATCTTTGAAAAAAAAAATTTTTTTTTGATCAAAATTTTCCTGCAGCCTTAGTATCAGAATTCTGTTGTGGTCAAGTGATCAAGTGGTCAAGTGGTCAAGTGGTCAAGTGGTCAAGTGGTCAAGTGGTCAAGTGGTCATGGTATTAATCACCTGATACATTTTCTAGACCCAAAGGAATTTATTACTGTTTTATCTTCACCTCAGTCATGTTTATTGATTGCCCTTCTTCATATTTTATGGAGCACACAAATGCACGCAAGCAGGCATGCATGCATGCATGAGCACACAAGTAAACTTAAACAAAATTCTTGGACCTATGTAAAATTGTTCTGTTTTTACGGATTTTTTGGGTAGAAATCTCCAGATTCATAAAAACTACCGTTGTTGCCTGTATTTACGGTGTAGGCGCGGGATGAAGGGGGAGGAGAGGAGGACTATGAGTCTAAGGGATTAGGATCACATGGCTAGTACTGTCGTCGCAGACTGCGCTGGCTGGGATTTTATAATCGCAAGCGACAGCAAAAAATCCACAGCCTTGCAGGCGACTCAAATTCAGGTCTGCCGCATGGGAGTCCAGCATTTTAAGCATTCGGTCAGCAGCTTCTTCATGTTTGTGACTTTTTAAAGTGTTTGTGTGATGAGAGTGTTGATGTGTATTATAATAATAACGTTCATTTTATTTTGTTTGGTGGATATGTTTTGGGTGACCCTCTTTGAATGTCCCTGTTTGTGCCTGCAGTATCTCCGCTAGTGATGGCGGTGTACCTGTCCTTGCAAGTGGTGCCTGCAGGCCATGGAGCAGACATCATGAGTGACTCCTGCAGCAAAGGCATGCCCATCGCTACAAGTGTCTTCTTTGTTCTTGGTGTGGTCAGAGCTTATCGCTGGGTGAGTAGTTTTACGATTGTTTCATTCTTTCTCAGTTTAGTCACTTCCTCTTCTTCTTCCCATTCACCAGCTGTAAACTCCAGTGGAAAGTTCTGGTTGTTCATCCACTTCTGGACTCTAGTCCTATTCCAGAACCTGAGTGTTGCATCCACATCTGTTTCACAGGTCTGACTCATTTGTATGAAGACTGTTGGATCCTTGCCTCTCAGGCAGATGCACTCAGACTTGGAAGGAAGCTTCCAGGCAGTAGACTCTAACGACCTGATCGTTGGGGAGGCAGTAGTCTTAATCAACAATGGGGCCCTGGAACCCACACATGAAGTAGTCAGCACTGATCTCTGGGTGAGAATTGCTGTTGGTTGAAGTGTTTATACAATTTGTCAGAGGGAACCACTGTGGTGTAGCCACCGTATGCTCACCTGCAGGATCAGAGGTTATGGATTTAAATCTGAACAGAGCTGGAATTAAAAAAAAAAAAAAAAAATACCCTGGCTGCCAGGTCAGTCCAGTCTCAAATAGGTATCCAGTGATGTTCTAGAATGTAAAATTGGCCGTCGTGATGTTGACAAGAAAGACAAAAAGGAATACTTGGAAGTCAGAGCTGACAAAGCAGAAGAAGCAGCAATGACAGTTGATACTAGGACATTTTTTTAAAATAACAAAGGATCTTAGTCGGAAACATTTTAGCTTTAATGAAGCAAACCTGTGAGACACAACAGGAAAAATAATCACAGTGGAAAGAGGAAAGGCAGACAGATGGCAAGAATATTTTACTGAGTTGCCAAATAGGCCAGCTAGCATAAGATATCCCAGCGGAAACAGTTGAAAACTGGCCAACTCCTTTGGAGCCAATCAGCGTTAAAGAAAAAGAAACGGTAATTAGCAGTATGAAGAATGGGAAGGCACCAGGTGAAAACCTGAATTAGGGCTGACATGTTGAAGGCAGACCCACAGCAAAAGCATTACATGGAATATTCAACTAAATCTGGATACATGAAGTGGTCCCAAAAAAACTGGAAAATGGTGTAATCATCCCACTACCGAAGAAAGGTGATCTCTCACACTGCAACAACTGGAGAGGCATAACATTATTGTCTGTACCCGGAAAGGCACTCTGTAGGTTGGAATACAACAACTGGAAAGGTATAACATTATTGTCTGTACCCAGAAAGGCACTCTGTAGGTTGGTATACAACAACTGGAAAGGTATAACATTATTGTCTGTACCCGGAAAGGCACTCTGTAGGTTGGTATACAACAACTGGAAAGGTATAACATTATTGTCTGTACCCGGAAAGGCACTCTGTAGGTTGATATACAACAACTGGAGAGGCATAACGTTATTGTCTGTACCCAGAAAGGCACTCTGTAGGTTGATATACAACAACTGGAGAGGCATAACATTATTGTCTGTACCCGGAAAGGAACTCTGTAGGTTGATATACAACAACTGGAGAGGCATAACGTTATTGTCTGTACCCGGAAAGGAACTCTGTAGGTTGATATACAACAACTGGAGAGGCATAACATTATTGTCTGTACCCGGAAAGGCACTCTGTAGGGTGATATACAACAGAATGAAGACGTCAATAGACAGAGTTTTGTCAGAAGATCAGGCAGGATTCAGAAAAGGATGACACTGCTGTGATCATATTTTCATTTTCAATATTGTGGAACAAGCTTTAGAATGGAATGCCACATTATGTACAAACTTGACTGCCTCTGATAGTCTAGATAGAACAATGATGTGGAGGATCCTTGCAGCGTATGGGTTATCCAGATAAAGTTATAAACATATCTAAAGGACTGTATGAAGGATACCAATGAAAAGTAACCAATGAAAAGTAACCAATGAAAAGTAACCAATGAAAAGTAACCAATGAAAAGTAACCAATGAAAAGTAACCAATGAAAAGTAACCAATGAAAAGTAACCAATGAAAAGTAACTAATGAAAAGTAACCAATGAAAAGTAACCAATGAAAAGTAACCAATGAAAAGTAACCAATGAAAAGTAACCAATGAAAAGTAACCAATGAAAAGTAAAAGTAGGACTCATGGACACAGACTACTTCAGGCAGATGCTCTCTGACTTTGAAAAAAAAAACAACATAGTTTTACGAAGTGCTTGTTTGGGTTTTACTAGGTATATTCTCCCCCTCCCCCACCGCTTCCTAAATGGGGCCCTGAAACCCACGCTGTTACTTACTCGAATAATATGGGATGTGGGATTTGCCCTTTCCTGGGAGTCTGAATCATCACACAGTGTGTACTTGCACAAAAACATTTTGTTAGAGCAAAATCTGGCTTTCTTTGTGGAACACTTTTTGTGCGCTTTTATAACTAATACATCTTTAATATCTTGTTTCCACATCCACGGAGGTATACCTCAGCTTCTTTTTCTTGGGCACTATGACATTTAACATAGCAAATATATCTCAGCTTTCAGAAGAGGATGTTGTTTATGAGCCAATTCTCTTCAATGTTCATATCATGTAGGATGTCAGTGTTTCTCTTCTTCTTGGTCTATGGTATTCTAAGAATGTTTCTGTAGCACTCAAGTTGAAAACATGTAATGAATATAACATTGCCTAGTTAAACGATAAACAGCCAGCAAATTCTGGTATTGATTAACAACCTGTTGAGGGTATGCAAATAACCTTTTTTGCTGTTCGAAGCAGAGGCACATTTTTTGCTTCTGCCGGACGTTGGCTGATGCATTTTTGCTCCATTTGTAGACTGGATATAGTTTCGTCGCCCAGCTTCTGAGTTGAATGCATGGCATGACACTGTGAGCTGCGGATTGCATTTGGAATGTTTTTTCGACTGTGACCAACGTGGTAGTGTGAATTGTGGATTCAGAAAATGGCCCGATGCTTATCGTGCAATGTTGGCGGTGCCCATATGTGATAAAAATTGATCGCGTGGGCAACTGCTGATCTGTTGGCGACAGGTTCTGCAATCATCAATGTTAGCACTTCGGATGGCTACCGTATGCTTTAATGCGAGTGTATGCTATATATGCTGAAACAGCAGTCTGTCAATATTTCCACAAGGGACTGTGATAAACATTCTGTGTGTTTTTCGTGGACACAGGAGCGGAGAAAAGTTAGGGTGACCCGTTTGCTATGAAGCTGAAACTAAGACTACCAGACTACCAAATAACCTTTTTTTAAACTGATAATGTAAAAAGTGAATGTTGAGACATGGGATTTTGTCTTGCAGATCTGGCAGAACACCACCCAGTCTCTACTGGAGATGGCTGTTGTACACGTTGTCCTGGTCACTACACGAGGCAGTGCTGTAGTGTCTGAGCTGGGGGTTCCAATCCTGCTGCTGATTGCCTGTGTTGTCAGGGACCGGTTCTACCAGCTCGTGAATAAACTGTATTTTGTGACCGGCCTCATCGTGGCGTCCTGGAGTTACAAGAAGCAGCGATACAGCGCCACAGGCGGCATCATCCTTCTCAACATCATTTTCTTCCCCATTGTTATCATCATTGTTCTCACATCAACTCTGATATCTGCACCCATCCTGTGCCTTTTCACACTGCCTTTATTCTTCATTGGTTTCCCCCGGCCTTCCAAATTTTGGCCAGAGCCAGTGGGGTCGTCTGCTAACACCTGCCCTGATAGCCTTTATTACCGACAGATCTTGCTAGAGCTGGGCCGAGCCTTGAGACCAGCCTTTGCTAATGGAAGTTTGGGTAAGGCTTTGTGTTGACTGTTTAAGGCATTTTTTCCAATTATGACAAAAATATCACTTTTTCAATGTGTTCGTTTTTGTAAAGTTCGACATTCGTAGAATAGATTACACACAAAATTTATGTCATTTGTAAACAATTTAGCATTGAAAAGTTAATACTAAAGACACCAACCCATGCATATTCTTAAGATAAAAAAAAAAGTTTAAAAGTCAGTTTTCTCACATCTCTAAATTTGTGTTTGTTGTATGTGTGAAACCCTAAACTCTCAGCTAATATAAAGACTAGAAACATGAAATTTGGTATGGATACTCCTTAAACAGTATTATAGGGACTGGTCTGTTTAAAAGTAGATTTTAGAAAGTTTTTGTTTATTAAAATTTAATTATTGTCTTATGATGCTAGATTTTTGTGACTTCTTCAATAAACCTACATTTTAAAACTACGAAAAATATTAAAAAACATGTTTAAAGTAAATAAACTACATCTGTACCTCTAAATAAGATTAAAGCTCATAAACCCACCATCTATTGTTGAATACGTATGTTTGTTTTTAAAATTTTAGGATTCTAAGTACATATTGTTTTTTTCCACAAGATGGTGGCTATTGCCATGACAACCATGATTATTTTAACACTTAAAGTATACAAAAAGCAGTAACATGTATCCCTACAATTGACCATTATAAAAAAACTGCTCTAAGTCTGTAAATTAAAAATATTTTTTTTGGGCGTAGTGACCCCTTAAACAGTGTGGTTAGTTTACAAATGTGGGGATCTGTGCTTAAATGTTGCAAACACACTTTGTGATTCTGAGGGACCATGTTCGATATCAGCTGCTGGCGATTTAGCAGCAGACCGCCTTGCCTTGGTTTTGACAGTGGTTTTGAGAGCCGACAATTCAGAAAGCAGTGGCAAACTACTCAGTATACTTCTGGACATGGCTGCCTGGACTAAGACAGCACCAGAGCTGTGAAGAAATCACCACACATGGACATGGCTGCCTGGACTAAGACAGCACCAGAGCTGTGAAGAAATCACCACACATGGACATGGCTGCCTGGACTAAGACAGCACCAGAGCTGTGAAGAAATCACCACACATGGACATGGCTGCCTGGACTAAGACAGCACCAGAGCTGTGAAGAAATCACCACACATGGACATGGCTGCCTGGACTAAGACAGCACCAGAGCTGTGAAGAAATCACCACACAAATTACACTAACCGGGTAAGGCTAACCCAGATAAAAAATGCCCAAAGAAGTTGGATGTGTCTGCCGAAAGGCACAAATATCACAATTGTCCTGTAAATGGGCACAACACATTTTACATCACTCTCAGAAGGATGATGAAGAAGGATGGTATTTTCAGTTGTTGTATGTGATAGTAGTTAGTATTTACAAATGTGAAAGTGGTTAATATTTCCCGATGATTGTTTGTGAAAGTGGTTAGTATTTCCAGATGATTGTTTGTGAAAGTGTTAAGTATTTCCAGATGATTGTTTGTGAAAGTGTTTAGTATTTCCAGATAATTGTTTGTGAAAGTGTTTAGTATTTCCAAATGATTGTTTGTGAAAGTGTTTAATATTTCCAGATGATTGTTTGGGAAAGTGTTTAGTATTTCCAGATGATTGTTTGTGAAAGTGTTTAGTATTTCCAGATGATTGTGAAAGTGTTTAGTATTTGCAGATGATTGTTTGCGAAAGTGGTTAATATTTCCAGATGATTGCTTGTGAAAGTGGTTAATATTTCCAGATAATTGTTTGTGAAAGTGGTTTATATTTCCAGATGATTGTTGTGAAAGTGGTTAATATTTCCAGATGATTGTTTGTGAAAGTGGTTAATATTTCCAGATGATTGTTTGTGAAAGTGTTTAGTATTTCCAGATGATTTTTTGTGAAAGTGTTTAATATTTCCAGATGATTGTTTGTGAAAGTGTTTAGTATTTCCAGATGATTTTTTGTGAAAATTTTTAGTATTTCCAGACGATTGTTTGTGAAAGTGGTTAATATTTCCAGATGATTGTTTGTGAAAGTGTTTAGTATTTCCAGATGATTGTGAAAGTGTTAAGTATTTCCAGATGATTGTTTGTGAAAGTGTTTAATATTTCCAGATGATTGTTTGTGAAAGTGGTTAATATTTCCAGATAATTGTTTGTGAAAGTGGTTAATATTTCCAGATGATTGTTTGTGAAAGTGGTTAATATTTCCAGATGATTGTTTGTGAAAGTGGTTAATATTTCCAGATGATTGTTTGTGAAAGTGTTTAGTATTTACAGATGATTGTTTGTGAAAGTGTTTAGTATTTCCAGATGATTGTTTGTGAAAATGGTTAATATTTCCAGATAATTGTTTGTGAAAGTGTTTAGTATTTCCAGATGATTGTTTGTGAAAGTCTTTGGTATTTCAAAACATATGTTCTGTCTTATTTGGCCAGGTGAGCCCCAACCTGGCAACCACTACCTGTTGAGATTCCAGGACCGACTGGTCTGGGTGATGATCCTGGAGCGGGGTGCTGGCTACTGCACCCTCAGCATCAAGGGACTCGAACTGCAGGAGACTTCTTGCCACACCACCGAAGCTGCCCGTTTTGATGACCAGTTTGGTGAAGCCTTCGAGGGGAAGTGTGGGCCCTCTTGTGTTTGCTCTGTCAACCATTATCCCCTGCACTGTCTGACCCCTGTCGATGCCATGGTTTTGAGAACCTACTCCGATGCTAGAAACGTGTTGACAGGGGTCATCGACTCCCCTGACAGTGTAAGGATAACTCTGTCTTTCTTTGCTAAAAGTTTGACTTGGTTACTTCTTCAGTATGTCAATAAATTAAAAAGACAAGAACAGAAGGCGAAAATTATGAAAGAAAAAGAGATTGCCCTCATGGAGAAAGCTAACAGTGAGGACTCTGCCAAGGAAAAGTCTCCCAAAGAGGGCAGCACAGGCAGCAAGAGAAAGGTGAAGGTTAGTGTCATGGGTAGTGCTTCGGCCCCGAAGGAGATGAGCCATAGAGTTACCATCCATGACCGAAAGTACGATCAAGCCATCAGTATTCCTATTAAAAAACATGATGTTATTATTCAGTCTACGAAAGGTCCAAATACCTTTGCCGTCCCACCAATCAGTGTCAACATCGCTAACTTAGCTCAGGATTCCACGGACGCGAATTCACAGAAAGGCTCCATCTCTGCCTCATTGCCCAGTTTTTCCGACAGCGTTTGGTCTGAAGATTTGGTTGACCTGGACAGAACCAAAAACAATACACTTGACAAGCACCACAAAGCAGCTACGGTGGTGACAATAGCTGGACAGTGCCCCGACAGACGACAGTCCAAACACTCTGTACTGACCAGCTTACACCCTGCCAGCCCTGACAAAATGTCGGCTGAGGTCTTCACAGGCGGAAAAAACTGGAAGGACGTCGATGACTTGCTGAACGATGTGGAGTTTGGGCTCCCTGCCGTCGACGTGAGCACACCTTGTACGCGATTGGATATCAGTTTTGACGAGACTTCTCAGAGAACAGATTCTGCTCATGGAAGCCGGCCGTCGGTCTATCCGACCAGACCAGCTTCTAAGTTCACACTTTCACATGGAAACCAAATCTACAAGCCGGTGATGAACCTGGCCGGCTCGCCAGATTTCAAATGTCCATTTTCTTCTCATATCAGGTAAGCTTTGTTCACTTTCATTTTTATCATTTGTTTTGTTTGTTTCAGGTCAGTTTTTGGCTCTTTCTTTTTGATCATTTTTTTCTTGTTCAGGTAAGCTTTGTTCACTTTCATTTTTATCATTTTTTAAATTTGTTTCAGGTCAGTTTTTGGCTCTTTTTGATCATTTTTTTGTTCAGGTCAGTTTTTGGCTCTTTCTTTTTGATCATTTTTCTTATATTAGGTACTGTAGCCGGTGTGGGTTCTGGCGCACAATCTCCTACCTTGACTTCAAAGATGAACTCACATGCTTCACTCCTTACTTACTTACTTAGTCAGTTCTCTTCTACTCTGGTGTGTAGAGGTTTGCCAAAGAGATCGTCATCTCTCTCTCTCAGCTCTTTTCTTTTTTGGCTTTGTTCCATTCCAGCTTCTGTCAGTCAGGGACTGTCGGATTTGTCTTCCCAGTGAAGCCTGGTCACCCCAGTGGTTTGGTTCCCTGGTTCTTAATCTCCCTAGCCTGCCATGGTGATCTGGTTCCCTGGTTCCTAATCTCCCTAGCCTGCCATGGTGATCTGGTTCCCTGGTTCTTAACCTCCCTAGCCTACCATGGTGATCTGGTTCCCTGGTTCTTGACCTCCCTAGCCTGCCATGGTGATCTTGTTCCCTGGTTCTTAACCTCCCTAGCCTGCCATGGTGATCTTGTTCCCTGGTTCTTAACCTCCCTAGCCTACCATGGTGATCTGGTTCCCTGGTTCTTAACCTCCCTAGCCTGCCATGGTGATCTTGTTCCCTGGTTCTTGACCTCCCATGCTTGCTTTGGTGGCAGATTCTCTCTAATTCTGCATACATTTGCAAACCCTTGTAACTGACTGAGTTAGTAAGGTTTGTGTGCTTCACTCCAAGGGCAGCAATCATGTTAGCCATCACAATTGATGATAATGATGAAATCCTGTAATAAATTGTTTCTTTGTGCCAACAGTGTGCCTGTTAAATGGAGAGAGCTACCGATTGAACCCTCACAGCTGTCTTGCTACATCTCCAAGTTTCCCACATCGTGGTACAAACACACTCTCCACTCGCTGGACTGGTCAACCACTGGTCTGCCTGGAGATGAAGTCGCCTCGGAAGTGGCCACAGATGATGCTCTGACCAACTGCTACAGCCAGCTGGTGATGGCCTGCTGCTCTGCCTTTGATTGTCCAGGTAACATCCTTTGATAGTCCAGGTAACGTCCTTTGATAGTCCAGGTAACCTCCTTTGATAGTCCAGGTAACCTCCTTTGATAGTCCAGGTAACCTCCTTTGATAGACCAGGTAACGTCCTTTGATAGTCCAGGTAACATCCTTTGATAGACCAGATAACATCCTTTGATAGTCCAGGTAACATCCTTTGATAGTCCAGGTAACGTCCTTTGATAGTCCAGGTAACCTCCTTTGATAGTCCAGGTAACATCCTTTGATAGTCCAAGTAACATCCTTTGATAGACCAGGTAACTTCCTTTGATAGTCCAGGTAACGTCCTTTGATAGTCCAGGTAACCTCCTTTGATAGACCAGGTAACATCCTTTGATAGTACAGGTAACCTCCTTTGATAGACCAGGTAACATCCTTTGATAGACCAGGTAACCTCCTTTGATAGTCCAGGTAACCTCCTTTGATAGTCCAGGTAACCTCCTCTGATAGACCAGGTAACCTCCTTTGATAGTCCAGGTAACCTCCTTTGATAGTCCAGGTAACCTCCTTTAATAGACCAGGTAACCTCCTTTGATAGTCCAGGTAACCTCCTTTGATAGTCCAAGTAACATCCTTTGATAGACCAGGTAACCTCCTTTGATAGTCCAAGTAACATCCTTTGATAGACCAGGTAACCTCCTTTGATAGTCCAGGTAACCTCCTTTGATAGACCAGGTAACCTCCTTTGATAGTCCAGGTAACCTCCTTTGATAGTCCAGGTAACCTCCTTTGATAGTCCAGGTAACCTCCTTTGATAGTCCAGGTAACCTCCTTTGATAGTCCAGGTAACCTCCTTTGATAGTCCAGGTAACATCATTTGATAGACCAGATAACCTCCTTTGATAGACCAGGTAACCTCCTTTGATAGTCCAGGTAACCTCCTTTGATAGACCAGGTAACCTCCTTTGATAGTCCAGGTAACCTCCTTTGATAGTCCAGGTAACATCCTTTGATAGTCCAGGTAACCTCCTTTGATAGTCCAGGTAACCTCCTTTGATAGTCCAGGTAACCTCCTTTGATAGACCAGGTAACCTCCTTTGATAGTCCAGGTAACCTCCTTTGATTGTCCAGGTAACCTCCTTTGATAGACCAGGTAACGTCCTTTGATAGTCCAGGTAACCTCCTTTGATAGACCAGGTAACCTCCTTTGATAGTCCAGGTAACCTCCTTTGATAGACCAGGTAACCTCCTTTGATAGACCAGATAACCTCCTTTGATAGACGAGGTGACCTCCTTTGATAGTCCAGGTAACCTCCTTTGATAGTCCAGGTAACCTCCTTTGATAGTCCCTTAGCATACTCTTACCTGTTTGTTTGTTTGTTAGCACCTTTTTTTGTCTTTTCACACATTTTATGCTATAAGTAGACATGGGAATCACTCTTTAGTAGTAGAGGTGTGACAAGAAACACCTGCTAATGTAATCTATGGCTAGGTATTAGGTTTCTCCTTTCCCTAGTGCAAAGCCTGGGCAGTATTGCAGGGACAATATGTTGCTCTTGCAGAATGATCCACCTCGCAGCCTGCCTTGTTTACTCCAAAAAAAAGGTAACACCAATAATTTTGGAACAAAGTGTGCTGCAGAAGCTGCCTTATCAGAAGAGCAGTTTTGTCTCTCTGTCTGTCATAGCTTCTCCTTTTGAAAACTCTGCATAAAACCAGTAAATTATAAAGTCTATAACTGCCTGTCAGAGCTTCTGTTTTTGAAAACACTCAGCATAAAACCAGTAAGTTAGTACTGCATAATGTAGTTTGGTAGTACTGGGATCAAACCCACTCTCCCCCGTGTGGGTTCCGGGACCCCATTGTGGGGAAAACAAGAATAGACCCACTGCCTCCCCAAAAGCATGTCGTAAGAGTCGACTAATTGGGGAGCTTCCTTTGAAGTCGGAGTGCATCTGCCGGAGAGGCAAGGAACCAACAGTCTGGATTCAAGAGAAGGAGATCTGTAAAACTGATGCACACGCAACACTCAGGTTCTGGAGCAGGACTGCAGTTCAGTTGTGGACAAGCAACAAAGAATTTTCCACCAGAGTGTACAGCTGGTGAACACGAAGAAGAAGAAGAAGAAACCCACTCTGAGGTAGGTATTTATTACCTCAGCTCAATCTAGCATAAAATGGTACCAGGAAATTTTCCTTGGAAGTAAAGGTGGCTAGCACAATACCGACTACAATAGTGTTCCTCAACTTTGCTTTTTAGTAGGGCTGTACCGAATAGTGATTTTCACTATTCGGCCGAATACGAATAGCTGGACCAACTATTCGGCCGAATACGAATAGTGAATCATCATCATCATGTGCTTTGCCGGCTGGCATGGGCGACTATGCCTCGCCACAATCTGCGATCTCCTGCAGCACGTATTAGTTCGTGTGCTGACACACCTCCATGAAAAACCTTTGTTCCATGTTGTCAGCATTAGGCCAGCTTTTTGTCTCACTGAAGGTATTTCCAGCTGTACTAAACAGGAAAATACGACAAATACAGAGAGTCAAAATGAAAACCCGCAAGGCGAAACATCAAAAATAACGCAGACGAAGAAAACAATGCCGTCCTTACAAGTTGCCCAGCCCCCCGTGAGCTCACGAAACCAGACTCCGGGCGGCCAACGCCAGAAGATCAAACAACAAAGACAACGAAGAGGACTCTCCACTCAAAGAAATCAAGCTGACAACACTAGAACACTTGCTTTTCTGCCCCTCTTACATTTGCAAGTGTTGCATTTTGTTTCTACAGCAACACACCTAAAAACACTACACTCGCAACACATGCAAGATGGAAATTAAGGGGCACTTGGTACGCTCGTAGGTGGTGCACAAAGATAACGCTTCACAGTATAAACCAAGGTGGGAAGTCTTGATGTTTTTTTTCCACCAGTCCAGAAATGGTTGTGAGGTAACCACTATTCGTATTCGGCCCGACCGCAACTATTCGGCCGAATATCGAATAGTTATTGGGTCCACTATTTGGCCCCCAAGCGAATACGAAGCGAATATTCGGTACAGCCCTACTTTTTAGTAATACAGTGCTGGAATCATATGGTGGCTATATGAGTTATAGTCCTTATTCCTAGCTCAAACTGGACTACTGTGTAATTCTCATTCCTAGCTCAAACTGGACTACTGTGTGATTCTTATTCCTTGCTCAAACTGGACTACTATTTGATTCTCATTCCCCAGCTCAAACTGGACTACTGTTTGATTCTCATTCCTAGCTCAAACTGGACTACTGTTTGATTCTCATTCCCCAGCTCAAACTGGACTACTGTTTAATTCTCATTCCTAGCTCAAACTGGACTACTGTTTGATTCTCATTCCCCAGCTCAAACTGGACTACTGTTTGATTCTCATTCCCCAGCTCAAACTGGACTTCTGTTTGATTCTCATTCCTAGCTAAAACTGGACTACTGTTTGATTCTCATTCCTAGCTCAAACGGGACAACTGATTCTCATTCCCCAGCTAAAACTGGACTACTGTTTGATTCTCATTCCTAGCAAAAACTGGACTGCTGTTTGATTCTCATTCCTAGCTCAAACTGGACTACTGTTTGATTCTGATTCCCCAGCTCAAACTGGACTACTGTTTGATTCTTATTCCTAGCTCAAACTGGACTACTGTTTGATTCTCATTCTTAGCTCAAACTAGACTACTGTTTGATTCTCATTCTTGACTGCAATCCTGAAATAAGAGTAATACCTGCCCTACCCCATTATATAAGGCAAAAGCTGTTGGTGGCCTACCTGCTCTTTTCTATGGCCCACCAGAGGGCTGTGGCCCACCAGTTAAAAACATTGGACTACATCAGCTTTCAGTTGTCACTTGTCTAAAACATTGGACTAGCCTCATATATCCAGTATTTCGCACGTGAAAAAACAGGTCTTTGACTTTTACCACATAAAATCTGGACCACATAAAATCTGGACCACATAAAATCAGGACTATATAAATTAAGTACAACATAAATTCAGTATCACGCAAATTCAGTATCACATAAATTCAGTACCACTATATTCAGTATCATTAAGTCAGTATCATCTAAAATCAGCATAACATAAATTCAGTATAACATAAATTCAGTATCCCATATATTCAATATCATATAAATTCAGTACCACTTTTTTCAGTATCATAAATTCAGTACCATTAAATTCAATATCATAAAGTCAGTATCACAAATTTTCAGTATCACATAAATTCAGTACCACTATATTCAGTATCATAAAGTCAGTATCACATAAATTCAGTACCACATAAATTCATTTTCACATAAAGTCAGTGTCACATAAATTCACTTTCACATAAAGTAAGTATCACAAAAATTCAGTGTCACATAAATTTACTTTCGCTTTAATTCAGTGTCACATTTTTATCATAGAAAATCCATATTTTCACAAAAAGTCAGTGTCACATAAATTCACTTTCACATAAAGTAAGTATCACAAAAATTCAGTGTCACATAAATTTACTTTCACTTTAATTCAGTGTCACATCTTTATCATAGAGTCTGTAGTGCATAAAATAAGTATCACATAAGTTCAATATCACATAAATTCAGTATCACATAAATTCAGTACCACATAAGTTCAATATCACATAAATTCAGTATCACATAAATTCAGTATCACATAAATTCAGTATCACATAAATTCAGTATCACATAAATTCAGTATCACATAAATTCAGTATCACATAAATTTACTATCACTTTAATTCAATGCCGCATAGTCTCTTATATCACAGAGTCTATAGTGCATAAAGTTAGTATCACATTAATTCAGTCTCACATAAATTCAGTATCACATAAATTCACTATGAGGGTGTGATAGGATCTTGATCTCATCCCATGGACAGATGGTGCTAGCGGCGCCAGCTACCTGTACAAATGTTACAACGGGGACATCCCCTGGAACGCAATGATGGACTGGCTTGCGGAGGACAAGGAGCTCTACAAGCTGGTGATGAAAGCCTTCAGGTGGGGGCCGTTTCGCATTGATGACCGTTTGTCTGTGATATGTCTTCTTTCTTCTGCCTTTCTATCCCCCAATGGAGCATAGGCCCTCAACCAACTCACGCCAAGTCGTTCTATCCTTCGTTATTACATGGAGCTCTCCCCACGTCCTTTCCATCTTTCTAACTTCATTCTCCAGCTCTCTTCTCCATGTGTTTTTTGGCCTTTTATACCTATGCCCCTGTGGGTTCCAGTGCAAAGACATTCTAGTTACTCTGTTTTCTCAGTGTGTGTCCTATCCAGTGCCAGCGTCTTTTCCTCACCTCTTGGTCCACTGGAGTCTGTTTAGTTCTCTCCCAAAGTTCTGCATTAGTTATTCTATCATACCATTTAATTCTCTATAAAATACCTCTATTCTGCGCAGGCACCAGTTTATGGATGTCTCTAATTTATTAGTTGTTCTCTGCGAAATGTCAGTTTTCAGATATTTCTCTTGTCATATATGTGATATTTGTCTCTCTCATGTCTTTTTTCATATTGTGTCTTTTGTCTGGTTTCAAGAAAGAGAAAGAAGTAAGAAAAATATCCAGACAACCGCTTGCATCAACCGACATAAGACAAAAAAGATAGCAATATATTGGGCACACCATAAGTAGAGGAATAAAAATGACCAAACAGGCACTGAAATGGAAAACACATGGATGGAGAAAATGGCGACAACTAAGAGAAATCCTAAGACAGACGTGGATGAGAGTGGCCAGGCGCGCTGGACTGGATTCCATCCACGAAATGGAAAGGATTGCTTACCGTGTGGGTTCCAGGACCCCATTTGCTCACTGTGTGGGTTCCAGGGCCCCATTTGCTCACTGTGTTGGTTCCAGGGCCCCATTTGCTCACTGTGTGGATCCCAGGACATGATTTTAGGGAGGGGGAAAAAACAAACAATAGACCTACCGCCTCCTTCCCACCCCTCACACCAACAAACATGTCATGAAAGGTGATTGTGAGGGCTGTGCAGAAATTGGGTAGGTTGGACCACAAGGTGCAGATATTGCAGCCTAGCTGTAAACCACAACACAGAGTGCTGGCCAGTAAACGCAAAAGAAGAAAGATGAACTGGATAGAATGGAATGGAGGCTTACACTGTGAGCCTTATGTGGCATGTTGCCAGCAGAACAGGATGAGGAGGAAATCTCACTTAGCAGATGTGACATTTGTAAAATAATGTGATATGTTAAAAATGCGATTGTTCAAATGTTGTTGGTCAAATATGTCACTCACAGTCCTGAATAGGACTTGTTCATTGTTCTAGTTTTGGTAGTCCACACTATGTGACTTTGGTTATCATTTGTGTCCACACGGCCCTGCACTGTACAATTCTTACTCCACATCCGTCCATACAGTCTTATGTCTGTGCCTTTCTGTCTGGGTTTATTATTTAATGAAGCATTAAGTGAAAGCACTGGAGACACTCTCATAAGCGCTTCATCTCTATCTTTACCAGCAAAGCACAGAATTCCAATTCCAGTTCCAGTTACGGTCTGATTGTTTATCCGTTCTTTTCAGATATGGATGATTCATCTGTGCCTCTGAGCTGTTTACTCATCCCTAAGGCACCCTCACAACATCTAGCCTGTCAGGCATCAGTTCACCACCAAGTTGTGCAAAACCAGCCAGTCTGTCTGCCTCTTCATTTTCTAATGCACCGGCGTTTCCTGGGAGAAAAATCTCCAGAAGATGCTAACTATCCAGGACCTCTAAAGCGAAGCTTGCCACTCTTCATGGAGCATACCAGTCTCCAACTTTCTCAAAAGCTCTGTGGGTCGGTTACAGTTATGACATGTGTGTACAGCTGATTCTCAAGCCAGTTGAAGGCTGCAGTGCCTTTCTAACAATTCTGACTTCAGCAATCCATCTATTAACCCCCCCACCCCCCCCCCCCCCCCCCCCCCCCCCCCCCCAACAAAATAGGGCCTCTGTACTGTCACATGAACTATTACTGATTCTGAAACTCAGTGTTGTCAACTCTTGCCTACAGGTATGGGTTCAAACTCATGCTGGACCAGTCACTGTTGGGAGGCCTCTCTGATGATGAGGAGCTGGAGGAGACCCTGTGCACCTACGACAGGGACTGGTATATCGGCAAAGAATCGGATGTGGAATGGGGTCTGGCTGTGTTAGAGAACAGAGGCAACCTCTTCTCCATGGGCCAAAACACCACACAGGTCAGTCATCTGTTTTAATAATTTACTGATTTAAGAATCAACATCATAGCACACTGGGCACACCCATAGGTGCTCAGTTTTCCACGGCAGATGTCTTAAAGTGTAGATGCTAACTATTCCCTTAGCACACTGATTGTACACATGTCGTTCTCTTCCTCTCATCCGTCCCTCCTTGCTGGATCCGATTCTGTTTCCTCATTCACACATACCTACAGATATTGAATCTAACCTCGTATCTTCTATGAGCATTCATTCACAAATGATTTTCAGAATGTCTTCTTTGTCCAGTACATGTGTGCCTGTAGCTATCAGTTTTGTAGCCAGAAAATCCACTCTTTCCTTCCTTCACTCCTGCATATCCCAAACGGTATGTCCACATGAATTTCCTGTAATATCTTAATGTCTGTGATGCAAAGAAATAGACTTTGTTACTCACATCAGTCATCTTTGATACACAGAAAAATAGTGTTACTTAGGTCAGCCATGTGTGATACACAAAAATAGTGTTACTCAGGTCAGCCATGTGTGATACACAGAAATAGTGTTACTCAGGTCAGCCACGTGTGATACACAGAAATAGTGTTACTCAGGTCAGCCACGTGTGATACACAAAAATAGTGTTACTCAGGTCAGCTATGTGTGATACACAGAAATAGTGTTACTCAGGTCAGCCATGTGTGATACACAGAAATAGTGTTACTTAGGTCAGCCATGTGTGATACACAAAAATAGTGTTACTCAGGTCAGCTATGTGTGATACACAGAAATAGTGTTACTCAGGTCAGCCATGTGTGATAAAAAGAAATAGTGTTACTCAGGTCAGCCATGTGTGATACACAGAAATAGTGTTACTCAGGTCAGCTATGTGTGATACACAGAAATATTTTTACTCAGGTCAGCCATGTGTGATACACAGACATAAATAGCATTACTCAGATCAGTCATCTGTGCTAGACATAAATAAATAATGTTAATTACTCAGATCAGTCACCTGTAATACATAGATAGAGACAGGTATGCTCCGTGCAGAGTGGCAAGCATCACTTCAGACTTCCCGGATCGATAACATCCTTTGGATATTCTGTCCAAGTGATGCTGTTGTGTTGGAAAATCAACAGGCAGATAGACTGGCCGGTTCAGCACCACTTGGTGGTTAACTGATGTATGACAAGCTAGATATTGTGAGGGCCCTTTGGGAGCAAGTGAACAGTGCAGAGGTGCAAATAGATCATCACGGACTGAGGAGAATGGCGCTGCGAGGAGTTGCCAGGTGATCTGGCCAATGTTCAACAGTCAGGAGAATGGCGCTGCGAGGAGTTGCCAGGTGATCTGGCCAATGTTCAACAGTCAGGAGAATGGTGCTGCGAGGAGTTGCCAGGTGATCTGGCCAATGCTCAACAGTCAGGAGAAAGGCGAGACGGATATACAATCAGACAATTACTGATGCTGTCAAAATTGGAACTCTTCCAAAGCTGCTGAAGATGGGGACGGAGCGCTTATGAGAGTGTCCTGAGTGCTATGATGTTGATTCTTAATTCAACATTCAGTCTGTGATACACAGAAATAAGTAATGTAATTACTCAGGCATGCTGGGAGAGGAAGGGAAGCAGGCACATAATCACCGATGAGGCAGAATTGTGCAAGTATCTTAGTAGTGTTGTTTCTGCCTTTTAAAAAAAAAACAATGATTGATATAACGTCACCATCATCAAATAAATGCCATAATGCTGTTATATCTGGTGTCTAACCTACTGCATCTATTTCAGCTTGCATTTCTGTCATCTTTCACCACTTTGCTCTCTCTATCTCTCTCTCTTTCTCACTCACTGTATGTGTGTGTTTGTGTACGTATATATGTGTGTATGTGTGTGCACTTTCTAGGCACAACGCAAATCAAAGTGGACTCTGTGTCATACTTAATTTCTATCACCTGTCACCCCTTCTGTGTGTCTGTCTGTGTCTTTCTACATTGTATGGCTGCAACCACTAAGACAGAGTGGGCACTTCTGTCATATCTTCCATCTGTATGTGTCTTTCTACATTGTATGGCTGCAACCACTAAGACAGAGTGGGCACTTCTGCCATATCTTCCATCTGTATGTGTCTTTCTACATTGTATGGCTGCAACCACTAAGACAGAGTGGGCACTTTTGTCATATCTTCCATCTGTATGTGTCTTTCTACATTGTATAGCTGCAACCACTAAGACAGAGTGGGCACTTTTGTCATATCTTCCATCTGTATGTGTCTTTCTACATTGTATGGCTGCAACCACTAAGACAGAGTGGGCACTTCTGTCATATCTTCCATCTGTATGTGTCTTTCTACATTGTGTGGCTGCAACCACCAAGACAGAGTGGGCACTTCTGTCATATCTTCCGTCTGTTTGATCCAGGGTACCTACACAAGCCGCTGCCTGACCCTGCAGGACGTGGTGGTCCACATGGGTCGCATCAACCGCGAGAGCGTCATCAGCCAGTGGTCCAGCCTCAACCTGGAGCTCCTGTACATGACCAACGACGACGAGGAGCGCTACTCCATCCAAGCCCAGCCGGCCATGCTGAGGAACCTCACCGTACAGGCCGCGGACCCTCCCCTCGGCTACCCTATCTACTCTTCCCCTCCAGTTTCTCTGCCCACCTTGTGAATATGTATCATGTCATTGCTAATATTTTCTGCAATGAGACGTCTGGAAACTCATCCAGGAGAAACACGTGGAGAACCTCTAAGGTTATTCACAGACATGGGCAGCACTTTGGGACCAAATACAAAATAACAAACCAAAATTTGGGGTGTTCCAAAAAGAATATTGATATCTTCGTCTTGTTTTTTTTCATCCTCTTCTAAAACCTGTGTTTCCGGGAAGGCTAATCCAGTCAACAAATGTCCGCAGAAGTCAGATGTGTCGGCCAAAAGGCGCAAATATCGCAGCCATGCTGTAAACGGACACATTGCTGTTACATCTTCAGATGAGTGCAGAAGAAAAAGAAACCTGTCTTAAAATTATGATTGGCATGTTGTGTTGTGGCTTACAGCTAGGCTTCAATATCTGCATCTTCCCACCCAACACATCTGATTTCAGCAAAACTCTGATTTTTTGCCTGTTACAACCTGCTTGCTGGATGGCAATGGCTCTGTTTCCCCGCCCCTGTTACAACCTGCAGCTAGGGAGCAATGGCTCTGTTTCCCCGCCCCTTTTACAACCTGCAGCTAGGGGGCAATGGCTCTGTTTCCCCGCCCCTGTTACAACCTGCAGCTAGGGGGCAGTGGCTCTGTTTCCCTGCCCCTGTTACAACCTGCAGCTAGAGGGCAGTGGCTCTGTCTCCCCGCCCCTGTTACAACCTGCAGCTAGAGGGCAGTGGCTCTGTTTCCCCGCCCCTGTTACAACCTGCAGCTAGGGGGAAATGGCTCTGTTTCCCCGCCCCTGTTACAACCTGCAGCTAGGGAACAATAGCTCTGTCTCCCCGCCCCTGTTACAACCTGCAGCTAGAGGGCAGTAGCTCTGTCTCCCCGCCCCTGTTACAACCTGCAGCTAGAGGGCAGTAGCTCTGTCTCCCCGCCCCTGTTACAACCTGCAGCTAGAGGGCAGTAGCTCTGTCTCCCCGCCCCTGTTACAACCTGCAGCTAGAGGGCAGTAGCTCTGTCTCCCCGCCCCTGTTACAACCTGCAGCTAGAGGGCAGTGGCTCTGTCTCCCCGCCCCTGTTACAACCTGCAGCTAGAGGGCAGTGGCTCTGTTTCCCCGCCCCTGTTACAACCTGCAGCTAGGGGGAAATGGCTCTGTTTCCCCGCCCCTGTTACAACCTGCAGCTAGGGAACAATAGCTCTGTCTCCCCGCCCCTGTTACAACCTGCAGCTAGAGGGCAGTAGCTCTGTCTCCCCGCCCCTGTTACAACCTGCAGCTAGAGGGCAGTAGCTCTGTCTCCCCGCCCCTGTTACAACCTGCAGCTAGAGGGCAGTAGCTCTGTCTCCCCGCCCCTGTTACAACCTGCAGCTAGAGGGCAGTAGCTCTGTCTCCCCGCCCCTGTTACAACCTGCAGCTAGAGGGCAGTAGCTCTGTCTCCCCGCCCCTGTTACAACCTGCAGCTAGAGGGCAGTAGCTCTGTCTCCCCGCCCCTGTTACAACCTGCAGCTAGAGGGCAGTAGCTCTGTCTCCCCGCCCCTGTTACAACCTGCAGCTAGAGGGCAGTAGCTCTGTCTCCCCGCCCCTGTTACAACCTGCAGCTAGAGGGCAGTGGCTCTGTCTCCCCGCCCCTGTTACAACCTGCAGCTAGAGGGCAGTGGCTCTGTTTCCCCGCCCCTGTTACAACCTGCAGCTAGGGGGAAATGGCTCTGTTTCCCCGCCCCTGTTACAACCTGCAGCTAGGGAACAATAGCTCTGTCTCCCCGCCCCTGTTCCACAGATTTGAGAACCCACACAAGAGTATGAGTATATAAAATGTTTTGTGGCTTTGAATATCTTGGGCGTAGTTATCACAGTCTTAAAGACAAGGGCTTCAAGTGGAAGAGGAAAGTATAAATAAAGTATCACCCAGGCTAGAAGTGGAAAGATTAATCAAAATTAAAGAATCCTCTTCTGATGGATAGAAAAAGAAAGACCACTTGTCTTGTACTTGTCTTCAGAATTAAAAGAGGAAGGATCAAAGAAAATAAGTGGTGACTGTACGTCCCAGGGTAGAAGAGGAAAGATCAATCAAAACTCTCATCCTTTTCTTCTTCTTCTTTTCTTCACCAGCTGTAAACTCTGACAGAAAGTTAGTTTGTCATCCACTTCTGGATTTTGTTCTTGTTCCAGAGCTTGAGTTTTGTGTGCACATCCATTTTACAGATCTGGCTTATTTGTATACAGACTGTTGGTCCCATACCTCTCAGGCAGACGCACTAAAATGAAAACCCCTAATTAGTAGCCCACTATGACATGCTTGTTAGGGGGGGGGGGGCAGTGAGTGTGCACACCGCCAAATCATTTTGCTGACCAAATAAAGTCATGACCTTTCATATCAGTTTGTAATAAACATACCGTATACATATCATTGCTTCTGCATACACTTTTAATCGGGCTGTTGGCGCTTTGTGTTGTTGTTTACAGCTAGACTGTGATATCATCACATTTCAGCCCAGCACATCCGATTTCAGCAAATCCTTGTCATTTTTCAGCATGCTCGTTAACTCTTTGAGTCCCAAGGAACGCATCATACGTTCATAGGTTCCTACATAGAAGCCCCGTCAACGCATGATGCGCCAATTTTATGACTCTATTTACTACCCCCTGGGCCTGTGATGCTAAACGCCCTGGGACTCAAAGAGTTAAGTTGGCATTGGGACTGTTCTTTGTCCCTCTGACGTGAGGCTCATGGAGCCCCACAGGACATATAATTTAATTGTTGTTTCTTTAGGGACGAGGTTAACTAAATAATCAGTCTGAATGTCTCTCACACCTGCCAGTACAGACTTGATCTGTTGTTTGAATTTCTGTCTCTTAGATCTGTCAGAAAAGATTTGATCTGTTCTCTGAGACTTGCAGATGCTAGTTTGATCTATTGCTAGATGTCTGTTTGAAACCTGCAGGTACATATTTGTTCTTTTGTCAGGCATCAGGGTGTCTGTCTCTTAGACTAGCAGGTACAGATTTGTTCTATTGTCAGGGATCAGGGTATCTGTCTCTAAGTAAACAAAACAAAAAGTAAAGGACCCTTTTCCACGCCTTTAGGCGTAAAGGGCATATAGGGCTAGATCTATATTTTATAGCTCAATCAGCACAAGATGAGGGATGTGGTGAGCATCACGCCGGCCACCTTTACTTCCCAGGACTAACCGGTACCCACTCAAGGCTGGGTTGACCTGGGAGTCAAGGTCATTTTTGAGCGAACCCACCTGTCTCTAAGACTGGCAGGCACATATGTGATCTGTTGACAGGATGTAGGTCTCTCAGATCTATTTGTTGTCTTTCAGAAGGGACAACCTCCCCCCCCCCCACCCCCTCCATTTTCTGGGGCCAGAGAAGACTTTGGATCTTAATTTCAGTTAGGCAGGCAGAGTCATCTTTGCCACAGACCTTGTTTGTAGTAAACTATCAGTCCCTGGGGACCATTGTGTTGTGCCTCTAGTTTTGGGAACTGCGTCTGCTTTGACTGTAAAGTCCAATGTGTGAGTGGCAGTCTCTGCCATATAGTCCACATGAAAGTTTTGGTACGCTTTCATTCTAAGGCTGATTTTCTCTCAGCTACTCCCTGTAGCTTGCTGTATTTGGTCTCTTTCAGACTACGACAGTCCGTCTTTCCCTGTCTGCCTCCAGAGGAGTCGGTCTGCAACTGATTTCTCCAGGTGTTTTTGTCAATGTTCATATCTTTCAGGTCGCATTTGCATATGTCCTTATGGCGTAGCCTTGGCCTTCCTGCAGATCTGGTCCCTGTTACCAGTTCATCATACAGAAGATTCTTTTAAGTACGACCATCCTCCATGTGAGAGACATGGCCCAACCAATGCAGGCGTCTTTGCTTTCATAGACAGTACTTTTGGTTGCTTATTAAATTATCTGTTATTTGAGAATGACATACCAAGTTTAAACATTCCAGAGAGGAACATTCAGGAACCAATTTAGATATCAGTATACACAGTGAGACAGGTAGAGATGAATGTGGCTTTATAATGTATCTTTGTTGACTTGAATGTGTTGTCTCCCTGAGCTCCATGATAGAGGTTCTATGACATCATTTAATTTCTTATATTCTTCTGAGTAATGACAACAGCTCATAGAAGCCACTTCAGGCCTCAGAAATCAGATATCTAAGAAAGGTGGTTCACAACCAGACAGTATGTCAGGATCTTGAAACCCAGGCCTGACAAACTCGAGTGGATCAGTCACAGTTACGATGTGAGGACATGTATGCAGAATGGGAGAGATTTGTCCACCGCGGCAGGCATGTGAGGCCAAGAACCAGGGACCAGACCTCCAGGACAACTCAGGGTCCGCTGAGAAGACTAACACCCGACAGTCCCTGACTGACAGAGGACTGGAATGGAACAAAGCCAAAAAGAACACTGCTGATAGAGAAGTCTGGCCATCTCTCTGGCAAACATCTGCACCCCAAGGTAGAAGAGGATGAACTAAGTAAGTAAGGGTTTTGCTGACAAACCAGTTAAAGAATATTTTGTTTCTTCTGTTCTGCTGAGGCACCGGTTAATGAATGTTTGTAATTTTTGAATGTGTTTTCGCTGTTCTCGATGTTTCTGATGAATAGAGCAGTGCTCATTTGATTTACCCCGTCACCAAGAGAAGCCCCGGGGAGACAGAGCTATTGTCCTCCATAAATGCCGCCTGACTGACTTGCTGTCGTGGCTTGTTCAAATTATTTGCACTCACACAAATGTTTAGGGGCAGCAGGACTGATTATAGTCACTAAAAATAGCATTTAGGAACGAACGAACAAACTTTATTTTCAAAGGGTTACAAATTAGGCACGCAGGCCTGTCTTACATTCGGCCCTTCCAAACTTCCATCTTTCACACAGCAGTTGTATTTCATCAATTAAGCATGTTATTTTCATGTAATAATATGCATATTATATATATGAAGTCAAAAACAAAAGCATGGCTGGTAAAATATGTATGCACGCTCACGCGCGAACACACACACACACACATACACA